AGTACAATTATCGAACACATAATATTTTCGATATAAATGATATGAAATTGTATCTAAAATCTGAGATGATGAACGATTCTACCATGAATATTGTAATAAAATATGATATTGAGTAATTACGTTTGGTAACATTTGCATGACATCCATAAAACCACTTTTGCAAAAATTATCTCATCCTACGCTAGGCCCGTATTATATTTATGAACCAAAAGATGAGGACTTCAACCATTTATATAATATAGGGTACGAACCTATTCAACTCATGATGGTTTTCTTGAGGCAGGAATGGGAGGAGTGAGCAAGGGGAAGAAAGAGCGGAATAAAAAAGAAAGAGATGGATGGCTTCCCTTCCTTCCAAATGTGTTTGATAAAACATGTTATTAGTGAGTTACAGGCATATTTCAATATTGAGTTTAAAGATTCTGCATTGTTGTTTATCAAAATGTTGTATCGATCTACAATGAAATGTGCTCTAGACAACAGGAAAAGCCACACGACACAATAAATTTTAGATTATTACTCATACCTAAAAATTAAGATAGCAATGATAAGCATTCGTTATAATTAATATATCATACTTAAATAGCATGCAAGTAACACCTACGAATAAATTATACAAATTAATATATCATACTTAAATAGCATGCAAGTGACACCTACGAATAAATTATACCAAACAATAGAAAATCGGAGAAAACGACAGTTTAAATGTCTTTCTCAACATTTACGAAGTGTCGAGTTCGACATTTGAATTGTTGGTCTCTACAGTTTTGTTCGACAGTTCATTTATGTTAGCACCTAGGGAGTAGCATTTAATGGGTGTGATTGAAATATATTTTTCATAGCATTAAATATGTTCATCAATGCCCAACTATCAAATGACAAAATCTTCACAAATGATTTATCCAATGTTTTATTACATAAGGATTCTGTCATTACGTTTTATAGAAGACGTTACAATCTTTATTCAAAAAGATTTGCAAAATCAAATCGAATGAATGAATAATAATTTGTAAAATTGCAAATTAATTTGAGCACGTTACATTTAAAAATTCAAAAATAGTAATTTATAAGATAAAAACATTAAATAATATGTAGATGCAAACCTCTAAAAATGGAATATGAATCCAATATTACTTTCTTGATATTGGAATGAAAAATATGTAAAGAAAGATGGAATTTTTGGGGAGAGAATGTCGTTATCTAGCAATGTAAGTTATGAATTTCCATTATTTTTCTTTATTTTTTTGGCTAAGAATTTTATTTTATATATATATATATATATATATTTTTTTTTTTTTTTTGCACAAGTCAAATGATCAAATCATGACATCATTAACATTAAATACTTGCGTTAATGAGAATAAATGCATTCAAAAAGGTATATTCGAGTGTCATTTAGATATTTCACACCCAAAAAATGACATTTTTTTAGCACCATTTTAAAAGTGACAAATTTTTTTGCACTTTCAAATTGTGACATCTAAGCAAAATTCCCTAAAAAATAAGATGTTGAAAATACAAAGTCAAATTTTGGTTGAAATGCATGAATGGCATGTTGATTTTAAGCCACGTTAAAGAAAGAAATAT